CCAGTGTGTGAATGTGAGAGTGAATGAATAGTGGCATTGTAAAGTGCTTTGGGTGCCTTGAAAAGCGCTATATAAATCCAATCCATTATTATTATTATAATAATAACACAGTGTTTGGTAACCATCAAGCTCCAGGCCTTCCTGTTTGCTCACCGGCAGGCTGATCTGATTCTGGACGCTCCCTCGGTCAGACAGGCTCCTCCTCCTCCATGCTGGACTGCAGCTGGTGATGACAGTCATGATCCTCTAAAGTGGGATTTATAATCGAGCAGAGCGCTATCAGCTGTAGGACAACATGGAGGACAGTCGGCTGATATTTACTCAAGTCCGTGTTTTAAGATTTACTAACGTATCTATAGAGCGCCGGCGCCCCTGCTGGCTGTTCTACTGTGAACGTTTTCTTTAGGTGAAATAAGTTTTTATTTTTCTTAAATCCAGCGTTGTTTTTTTAACTTGTTGATTTGTGAAGTTGCTGTGATGAATGTTGTGTTTTGTGCGTGTTGCAGGAGAGTTTGTGAGGCTGGTGGAGCTGCCGTGCCTCGTTGACCTCGTGTTTGTCGGAAATCCTCTGGAGGAGAAACACACGGCCGAGGGGACGTGGATGGACGAGGCCACGAGGAGACTCCCTAACCTAAAGAAACTGGACGGTACGAGTGTTTCAGAGCAGGAACGGAGCATAGTGCCGAGCTGCAGCCTGCAACTGATCTCTTCTTCTGCATTATTCAGGAACTCCGGTCATCAAGCAGGAAGTGGATGAAGGAGACGGAGAGAGCTGAGAGGCGTGAGCCCCGCGTTCCCTCAGAGTCTTCCTCTTTTTTTGAGTTTTCTGTGGTTTGTTACGGTGCTTTCTTTTATATGAACCATTTTTTAATGACAGCACAGACTTTGTTGTAGATCAACCAGCACAAGAATGTTTGTTTTAGAGTTTTTAAAGCTAATTTCCTAAAAGCTGTTTACAGCCTTTTACTGACCGACTGGGATTTTAAAGCTGATTGTTGTTAACTGTGACGGTACAAGAGCATCGAATCCTCCGTGTTCTCAGACTGTTAGCATCACCAGGTGTTTCTGAACTCTGTGTTCCCTCCGTTCACATCACACTGGACTAAAACCAACTTTATAAAGTAGACACTACATCAGACAAGGAGGACTACTGCTCAGCAGTGGTGTCAGCAGCTGTTTGAGTAATAATAGAAGAAGACTAAACACTGGAAGAGTCACTAATGGTTAAATAGTTAACGCCACTTTTTAACAAGTGCTGCTCCCTGCAGAGCCTACCTCCCACCTCCCTGGACTCCAGCCTTTGAGGCTGAAAAATGGAGCTATAGTTCCTCTAACGTCCACCAGAGGCTGTCTCCAAACGTGCCGCCTGCCTTTCATTGGTTACTGTATGTGACCTGTAAATGACCCCTTTAGTGCCTGAGCTTAACCACTTCTGAAACTGCCACCCCTACAACCCACTAACGCCGAGGTCGTAGGTCTAAAAACGACTCAAGGGGTTGATCGTGCATCAGAGGATGGCGATGTGGGAGTGTGAGGCTGGGCCAGGTGAGGCTCCGCCCACTGGCTCTGGAGTGAGCAACCTCTCAAATGTGTCATAATCCAGCTAATAGTGGCGTCCTGCTGTGCACTGATATCAGCTGACCTCTCAGAAGTTGAGCTTCTGATGGGAAACAAAGGGAACATCTCTGTTTACGCTCTGCTGCTGCCTCAGATCAGCCTCCTCTGCTCGGTGTGTGTCGCTCGGTGTGTGTCGCTCGGTGTGTGTCGTTCGGTGTGTGTCGCTCGGTGTGTGTCGCTCGGTGTGTGTCGCTCGGTGTGTGTCGCTCGGTGTGTGTCCACCGCAGAGGCTGCAAAGCTTCACCAGACAAATCTGAAGAAGAAGAAGGTGTTTCCTGCTCATTTATCCACCACTGTCTCTGTAACCTCATGTGTTTTAAGTTATTTTCATGTTTGTACATTATTATGATCCTTGGAATGATTTAATAAATATTGTTGGTGTAACATGTCTCACAGCAGACAACAAACCTACACCCAGAACATCCCCAGTGCCCTGCACCACCGATCAGCCTGTCAGTGGTGCTGTTTATTGTTTCTGACTGCATCGTGAGCTCCTCTTCTCATCAGCCGTGATCAAAGTCACACAGACCGTTCACTGGCAAACTGACAGCTTTAGGTTTAATGTCTGATTTAACTCATTTGGACTTCAACTTCAGCTCTAACGTGCAGAAACACGCTCAGGCTGCGGTGCATCTGCGGAAGGTGTTTTATATGAATCCAATCAAATCACGAGAGGCTGTCACAAGCAAAAACACAGAAATACTAATTTCGTAGTTTTCGAGCATTACTCACGAAGCACACAGGCACTGAGGCAAATAATGCAACAATTATGAAGTGCAAAGCTGGATTTATGAAGTCAGCACAGAGACTTCGGGCTGTGAAACCACCTCACAGATGCTGATCGCTGACTACCTCTTCATTTCGCGCTCTTATGAGCAGCTGTGTCTTTGGGGTGAGTCACAGCCTGCAAAACTGGCATCATAAACAAGGTTGCACGAGGTGAAAGTTTATCCACCACAGATCAAACTGCAGGTGCTGCCAGCGTCCACGTGCAACTGAAGTCAGGGATGCATCTAAGCTGTGAGGTGTGCTCCGTGTTCAAAAGCAGACGTGTTTACAGATATTTAAACAGCCGCACATGCAGGATGGATGAAGCTCCTCCCATCAGAGGTCTCATGGACACTGCTCAGCTTTGAAGTCTGATGAAGTCCTGTCTGCTACATAAAGCTGCTTCTTTGTCTTTGGAAGATTATTATTGTTACTCAGACACTAACGTGTGAGCACAGTGTGACCTGATGTAACTCGACGTCCTTGAAAAGCCGCAGTGTAAGACTGGCTTGGATGGTATCAGTGAAAAACAGTGTTTCAAATGTTTCTGCAGCTCAAGGACGAAGCTGCCGAATGTCTGGCAAAAGAATGTGTCATACAAAGTTAATATACGTCCACTAAGACAAGAGAAAGTGTCTTTCTCAGCCTGAAAATCAGCTAAAATTCACTGTGCTGACACCGTGTTCCTGACTTTTAGAGCCAAATGTTTTAAAGACGTCTTCATTTAAAAGTAGAAAATGACAGGTCGCCCAGGCCTTCATGTCTT